AGGAATTCGGGCAGGGAGGCAGATCTCTGGTCATCCCGTTTTGTTTTGGTGAATCCATATGCATTCAGCTGTCGCATGAAACTTTTCATTTTCTGTGTGTCAAAAAGCCTCTGAGGTCCTGCCCTGCCCAGCACCTCCTCTTCAAAAACATCTTTGTTGATGGCCACACATTTTCCACCCTCGCTCCACCAAATTGAATGAAACCTGCTGCTTTCCAGCATTCTCCAAAGTTTCTGTGGAAAGTGAAAGGAGGAAAACTCTCTCTCCAGGGACAGCTTGTCCATGGACAGCTTGTCCGTGTCCTGCCAGTCAGCAGGCAAAGGCCAGCTGGCAACAGTGGACTGCGGGTTCCAATGGAATGTTCTGGCATGTCACTGTGGTGCCCGTGCTGCAGAGTGGGGACATCGCAGGGGACATCTCAGTCATGGCTGGCAGTGGTGCCCTGGCAGAGGGCAGCAGCCTGAGGAGATGGTGCTGGGGGGCAATTGTTGCTTCTCCCTCCCAGAGACACCGGTGGTTGGACTGCAGAGTTCAGCATCCACAGAGCTGTGCTGAAGGGCTGTGGGCAAGGAGAGGCTGCACTAGCAGTGGGTCCTCAGGGAGGAGCAGGGATGGCTGCAGCCTTGGGCATCCCAGTGCCCCTTTGGGAAGCCTTCCAGCTGGGCCCCTCTGACACCTGCAGAAAAGTCCTTCATCCTTCTCCCTGGGGCACTGCAATGCAGAAGCAGCAGCTCCAGGAGGGAGAATCCTTTTCCTGACATCCCCTGCCCCAAAGCAGCAGGTATTGCCTGATGTCAACTCACTGTCCTTGCAAACCGCTCGAAAGGGATTGCACTTTTCTATTTTTGACTAGTGGATTTAAAACCACCTGGGAGAGATGGAGCAGGAGACCCAAAAGCAGTGTCGTCTTTGCCAGCTGTGAATGGCCCAGCAATCAGGGGCTGGGGGAGCAAAGCCCAAGCCCTCACTCAAGTCATCCTGTGGTCAGGAGCTGTTCTGGTTCCTGTTTTCTGAACCGCTCCTGCTTTGCTCATAAAGCCATGAACACGATCCCATGAATTTCTCTTTGCAGGGAAGCCATCCATCCTTCTCCCTGCTGCACTGCCCTCCTGCCGTAGACACTTTGCTGGTTCAGGGGTGTTTATGTGCCTGAAAAGCTCTGTCCTCTGAAAAGATACATTCCTCCCTCAGACATGGCCTTTCTGCCCACATAGCTATGGATTTTGGATCTAGAAATTTGAAGCAGTTTCCAGCATTGCCTGACCTGTTCCTCATTAAATTCTTTGGCATTTGAGTATTAGCTTTTCTTTCTCTTCACGGAAATAAAAAAGAACACATAAATGATGCTAAATATGCCTGAGGCACTAAGGAAGACTTGTACAATCCATTTTAGAGCAACAGAAAACCAGAAACATGTGATTGCACTCCCACTGATAAAAACAGGAAGTGGGAACATTTGCTTTAATTGAAGGATTTCACCACCCCAAAAAAACCCAACCCAACTTCTAGATAATACACTGGAAGCATCTGTGGTAACCATGGATGGCCACTTTTCTTACCAAGTCATCAACCCTGGGGTGCCGCTGCCCAACACCAACAGCCAGACGTGACAGCAACCCATTGGCAAGTCACTCCCACCTGTGGCAGTCCAGAACAGTCAAAAGAAAAAGAATTAATGAATATTCATGCCAAGGTCTCCAGGGGAAAAAAGGGCCCTTCAGGAGAAACGGGCACACATCGGGTCCAGTGGTGGAGGCGGTGGGGTCTTGGATAGCCCAGTTCAGCCATTCAAACATCTCTGTGGCATTATCTGCCCTGGGTTTGGGCGGGGAGAAGGACCTGGGGCCGTGTGCGGTCCCCGCGGGGTCACCCCGGCTGGAGGGACCCTGCCGTCCTTCAGGTGGCCACCGGGGGGCAGGCGGGGGCTTCGACAGAGTCCGCTGGCTGAGGAGGGAGAAACGAGCAGGAAAATGGGATAAAATGCAACGTGATTTCATTAAAGATAAATCAGGCCAAACTAGTCAGCTTCTCTGTGAAGAATACCCTAATTCTGGGAGGAAGAAGCGCTGAGCTCGCCTCTTTCAAATGCCACTTCACAGCTTGTGACCTAGACATTATCTGGTATTTCCCAGCAAGTTTTATCTGGTATTTTCCCTGGCCTTATCTGTATCACTGTGAATCAGGCAGAGACCAGAAACCCAGTATCTGCCACCTCTATCTTATCGACAGAGCCTTGCATTGCCAGCCCTGCCAGGGCTGTGGGTCCCTGCGAAGCAGCAAAGCTCTTGCAGAGCATCAGACCCACCCAGAATTCAGATGAGTCGTTCTTCCGTGAAATTACAGTTAACCTTTGACTTTGAGCCCAATTCAGAAAGCCCTGAACTTCTCGCTAGAGTGAGTGTGTCTAAGTTTAGCAACTAAACTGAATGTTTACCACTTCTATGTTGCAAACCCCGGTTCTCACGTGTCCTGTTAATACTTAAACTCCTGGGCACACCAGTCTCTACACATACCTGTGCAGTTTTGAGAATATTCCAACTGAGGGGCAGTGTGCAAGGCTTCAGAAAGCCACCATGAGATTTGGAAAAGCTGAGGGGCTCAACAAGACCAGTGGAGGGAAAAAGTATTTGCCATCTACAGAGAAAGCCCCAAGAGATGCGGAATTGGTCAAGACAAAGTGCACAAGCTAAGATGGAACCAGCAATTACATCCAGGTCTCCCAGCTGCTAGCAGCAGTCCCAGAACAAGGTCATCCTGTCTCCATGACCACCACGATCCCAGCAGGGTCTTCCACAGCTGTTTTGTGTCCCATCCCAACGCACACTAGAGATGGAGGAAGGAGCCTTGAGCAACCAACCCTGCAGTGCTTTGGCGTGTGTCAAAATGACCATCTGGGATGTGACAGCCACCCCATTATTGCCACTTTGCATCCTGAGAGCACAGCAGGGACTTAGGCAGCCTAAGCACATAGCGACAAGCAGCCAAAAAATGTAGATGAAAACTGGTAGTCCAGAGACTCACTGCTGCTGCATAAGGAGGCAGCTGCAGACAGGTTAGGCACTGCAGAGGGGACTGGGTCCACCAAGCAGCTCAGCTGATGACAGTGACATAGTCCCATTGCTTCTGTGGGGAGAGGCTGCTTTACATCAGCTGAAAATGCAGCTTGCTGCCACATCAGTTGTTTTCTCTCTTCCTTATGACTTTGTCCTCCCATCTGTGCCAAACCCAATTATTTATAGACCAGAGTTTTTTTTTCTCCCACCTGCCTTTGTGCTTATTATCCTTTCTTACAGAGTTAAGAAAAAGACAGGAGAAAGAAAAATCTTTCCCTCAAGTAAGTCTCTCCCTGACCTAAATGCAAATTTCTTCAAGCAAATTCAAAGAGTTTTGATCCTGCATAAGAGGGGAAAGGGGAGCAGCCTCTGCTGCTATCAGAATAGATCTTTACTGCTGCGTAACAACCAGGCAATGAAGCAAAAGCCACGGGAGTTTAAAGAGGAAGCTCAGCCAAAGGTCACCTGGCTGCCCCAGGTGCTTGTTATCAGAGCCTTGAAAAGAGGGAAGGAAAGTGACAGGAGCTGATTATAGCAACAACAGGAACCAGCTGACAGGGCTGGGGGAGCCGCCAACCCTCCTCAGCCCTCAGCATGCTGAGGGTCTCTGCTGTTGTAAAGCAAAGGGTCTGCAAAGCCTGGGCTCTGGAGCTGCTCAGACCACCGAGAGGAAATATTTCTGTCTCGGA